ATGAGGAGGGAGTTGCAGTAGTCGAGGAGAGAGATGACCAGGGGGCGAATTAGAAGCTTTGTGGTCTCATTGGTTAGGATGGGGTATATTTTGGAGATAATGCAGAAGCTGAGGCAGAAAGCTTTGGACAGTAATATTAAAAATATATGGACAGCACCACTGGAAACAATATCGGGAAAAAAATGATATCAGATAGAAAAGATATACTGGAAAGAGCAGTTATCTCATCCTTGAAGACAAGGTGCAATATGGAACAATTAAGACAACGCTCCTCAATCGTAATCTACCTCTTAATATGTGATAGTGCAATATAATTAAATAGAATAGTGCACTAAATACTACCATGCAAAACAATACCATGCAGAAGAATGTGACTACTAAACTCTGTGAATACACACATAAATCAATATCCAACGAAAATGTCCATAAAAATAACAGTGTTCATAAAAATAATAATATTAATGAAATAATTAATATTCTTCAAACATTTCATGTAATGAACTTCTGTGTTATGTGACCAAACACCACCATGAGAATCCACCACCAAATGGATTAAATCCACTCACCAGAGCTCCATGCTGGTAAAATTATAAACCAGCTGCAAGCGCTTTAGCTCTGGGAGCAACAATCTGCAGAGGCACACGCTGGCTAATTGCAACTCCTTGAAATGACCATCCAGGCATTTTATTCAATAAAAAAAGCTTCAAATCCACTCACATTGAACAGTGTCAGAGCCGACACTAGCATACATTGCATACAACAATGATAATCATAGGTTTGCTCCAGGTCCTAATTAGACATTGGCAGCTCACCCATACATGGTGACGTCACCTCCGAGGCCCCACCCTGGTGTTTGGAAATAGGGCCAAAAGAGAGCTTGGAGTCCAGGATTACACCTAGAACACTGGCATGGGGGGGCATGGGTTAATGATTGTGCCATTGATCTTGACAGAGAAATCAGGGGAAGGGGCATATGGGGGAGGAAATATTATGATCTTGGTTCTTGATAGATTTAGTTTTAGGAAACAGTGTGACATCCGGACTGATGTGTTGGTTAGTAAATTAGAGAGCTGAGGGGTAGAGAGATATCTATGGGTGTTGTCTGCATAGAAATTATATTGAAAGCCATGGGAGGCTATCAACTGACCCATGAAGCAGGTGTAGAACAAGAACAGGAGAGATCCAAGAACTGAATCTTGTGGGTCCTCGATGGAGAAAGGAGGGGAGAGGAAGAAGTAGAATTGCAAGTGACACAGAAGGTGGAATAGGTAGGATAAGATCCAAAAAAGAGTTGTACAAAGAGTACAATCACAGAGGCCAAAGGAGCAAAGTTTTTTGAGGAGGGGGTGGTCAACCATTGTATTAAGGCAGCCCATTTATTTGTATTGGCTGACAATGTACCACAAAGGACTGGATATTGGACCTGCAGCCCTTTTGGTAATACAAGGCACCACAGAACACTGCAATGTGTTGCAGAACAATGCAGCTGTGTTGTGAAGGTTCATCAGGGTGCCCTTCAAAAGAATCAACGGCTCTGCAAAGCACCAACCTGTAAAGGATGCATCACTGAACATTGCAGTAAAATGTATTTATTTATTTCAGGTACTTATATAGCGCTGTCAATTTATGCAGCGGTTTACATAGATATTGTACATTCACATCAGTCCCTAACCCTCAAGGGGTGTACAATCTAAGGTCCCTAACTCACATTCATACACATACAAGGGCCAATTTAGACAGCATCCAATAACCTACCAGCATGTCTTTGGAGTGTGGGAGGAAATCAGAGTACCTGGAGGAAACCCACGCAGGCAAAGGGAGAACATGCAAACTCCAGGCAGGAGGTGCCGTGACTAGGATTCAACCCAACAACCATAGTACTGCCAAGTGGAAGTGCTAACCATTTAGCCACTGTGGTGCCCATACACTATCACCCTTAGCGTTTTTCCAACCAAATGACTTATGATTTTGCTCAGGCATTCTTGTGATTCTGCAACACGGTACAGCCAACAGAGAGATTCTGTATATAGCCCCACAGAGCAGACAGCGCACAGTCCACATGTGTTTATTTACTGCTTCTCTGCAAACAGAAGACAGGAACTATATTTGAGAGAAAAGATATGGAGTTTAACCATAGACACAGCTCCAAACAAGCTATAAACACTGCCATCTACTGGTTGAAGAATATATCTCTACTCAATACTGATAATGACATACAGTAGTTGTGGCATTCCAACAGTACTCCTTCCTGATTCAGCAATACTTACGTTGGGATTTTCAAAGACTAATAACAATTTTTATTTCATGTTTGGCAAGTGAGGGGAAGGTCAATTTATGTTTTGGTCTTGGTGTCCCGTATATCTCCCTGCACTTTGTGTATTGGAGATGCAACAGAAAATTTCCAAAGTCAGGTAAGAATCTTAGACAGTTGTCACTAGAAAGAAAGTTTCCGATCTATTCTGGTGACAAATATAAAATGCTGGATTTCATGCCACTTTCAATCCTAGAGATAATAGTCAGGCTAATCTGACCAGTTGAGGGGAACAGATGAGGGAAACAGATGTTGACTATTGTTTGATCCGGAAATGTGCAATTGTGTTGTGTCATATTTTGAACCATGAAGTCTTGCAGTTGAAGCCTCAGAATTTGGGGTGGGATTAGTTCAATTTATTGGAGATCTCTACTCAGTCTGACTTTGTGGGACAGTGCAAATTATATAATTTTATATTTATGTAGGATACTGTTGGAATATTCATTATTGTTTCACAGAACCTGAGGAAGTGGGTTTTAAAATCTATGAAATTTGTTGTGTCTCGGCCAAAGGCCCCCTCAATTTCATCACCATGCAAGATACCTTTTGTATAAAGGATAAATATAATGCTAAAGGGTGTGGGTGATGATGGCAGACAGGGAATTGATTATTGTATCTGTTGTAGAATTTATTGATTACTGACATTGTGTTGTCCCTTGGTGGCTTAAATACTTTAACCAGTTCCCGCCCGGCCAATCGCAAAATGAAAGCTGGGCTTTCATTGTTTCGGGTGGCCATCATATGATGTCCTCAAGGATCGCGCCTTGCGCGTGCCCACAGGCCCATGCTGTTGCGAGATCTATCACCAGCTGTGTCCCTCGGACACAATCGATGACAGATCTGTGTACTGGTCCGTTGCCAGTACCATGTGACCAATGTGACCAATCACAGCAGGTCACATGACAATTGTAAACAATGGATGGCTTTATTTCATGCCATCCTTTGTATACAATTGTGTCACTAACTACGATTGGTCACAGTAATCACATAGTACAGACTGGGCCAATCACATCTCATCTGCGTCATGTGATTAGGTGTGGCTAATCACAACTAATCACAACAAAAGACCTGAATGAATCAATTTCACTCAGTTAAATGCTTGCTTATAACAATTAAATTCTTTGCTATAATCAATTATAATGTATAAAAAAAAAATACTGATCATTGGTAACATTATACTACTCTGGTCACAGTTTGTTAAAGTGTTGGTAAACCCAGGACCCTGCATTCATTATATCTGGTCTCCCCGGACCCTGCATTCACTATATCTGGTCCCCCCGGACCCTGCCACTATATCTGCATTCACTATATCTGGACCCTCTCACTATATCTGGTCTCCCACCCTGCATTCACTATATCTGGTCTCCCAGGACCCTGCATTCACTATATCTGGTCTCCCTGGAGCATTCACTATATCTGAGGACCCATTCACTATATCTGGTCATTCACTATATCTACCCTGCATTCACTATATCTGGTCTCCCAGGACCCTGCCCACTAGTACAGTACACAAACATGGAACTGCAATTATTTTAGTAAATATAAACTGCAAAATACCTTTTCTCATCGGCAGTTAGAGCAGTCTTGTGACTTCTATCCTGCAAAGCACTGGTTACAGCTTGTAGGAGGAGTTTTCATTCTCCTCTAGGAGGATGCAGGACCCCTGTGCTGATTACATGCACTCTCCCAAAAAACAAAAAACTCTTTAGCCATACACACCAAACTGAGCATGTGCAGCTTGCCCCCGAGCCTCTGTTCTATCAGGAGATATTTAGGAGACACTGGAAGAAGGGGAGGATCAGAGAAGACAGGCTCAAACATCCTTTTTACATAATGTGGAGAGTTAACCCCTTAGGTTCCACAGTGAGTGTAGCAAGCATGCTTTACTGCATATACAGAGCATTTACTGTTGTGGGTTTAGTAACACTTTAAGAAAAAAAACATATCGTAAAAAAAAAAAGAAAAAAATGTAATAAAAAATAAAACAATAATTGAAAGAATAAAAAAAAATATTATTATTTTTTTTCCATACTGTCACCAGTCAGTGTACCTAATCACTGCCACACCAGTTATATGATCACGCTGTACTGCACCGGTGACAGTATGTTAAAAAAAAAAAAATTTCAATTTCTTCATTTTCCAAAAAATTATGTAAAAAAATTACAACTTAAAAAAACTCGCCATGCTTCTTACTAAATACCTTGGACTGTCTACTTTCCAAAAAGTGGTCATTTGGGGGATATCTGTACTGTTTTGACATTTTTGGGCTTCAAGAAATTACATTGGCTGTCAGTACTTCAGGATTTTTGCTATATAAATGAAAAAGTCCAAAAATTTAGAAGAAAGCTGTTTTTCTTATAAAATGTAGCAAAGAAATAATCTTTCTTCATAAATCTTGGCCAAAATGTATTCAGCTATCTTTTTAGTAAAACAAAATAAGCCAAATTAGTTTATAACCAAAAATGACAATTTTTTAAACAATTTTTTTACATTTTTATATATTATTATATATGGTTTTTTTTTAAATACTGTCAACCTAGCAGTACAGTGTCACCATAGTGACACTGTACTACTTGTGGGGGGTGATGAAGATTTTTTTGTTTTACACCGATTGCTTTTACACCCATAAAGGCTGTAAAAGCAATTATTGCTCCTTCTCTCTGGCTGCATTCTTGCAGCCATTGAGAACTACTGTGTGAGCTGTGATTGGTCCCAGCTTGTCACATGGTACAAGGCTGTTGTGAATAGCCTTGTACCATGTGATCTCTGTGATCATTCACAGATTTCACATGTAGTAAGCAATGATGTCAGGAAGAGAAATCTTGTTTACTACTGTTCATGTAATCACTGATTGGCCAATCAGTGATTACATGAATCGGGACCTCACACAGAGGTCTCATACATCTATCTGTGTTCCACTGTGGACAGGGGACACAGTGGGCCTGTCAGGGCTCCGGGTATGACCAGAGGTGTGTGGACTGACACAGGGAAACGCAGGCTTCAGGTATAGTGTAAATAAGACAATTTATTAAGACTAAACAACACAAACGCAGTGCAAGGTAAACATAACACAGTGCAAACAACCCAAACTCCAACAGATAACCATATATACAAATCAAACGTAGTCGGGCAGGCCGGGTCAGCAGCAAACGGGCAAACAGGGTACCAGGAGCGAGAGGAAGAGTGGTCAGGAATAGCCGAGGTCAGGACAGGCGGAGTTCATTCAGAGTCAGGATCAAAACAGAGTCAGGATCAGGCAGGAAGCAGATACAGGGGCTCATGGGAAACATACACCAAGGCACTGACTGCAGGTCTGGCCATTCCTTAAATACACCTTCTGCAATCAGCCTCAGGTGATGGCTGATTGCAGGAGTGAGCTTCTGGTTGCTGAGAGCACCCACTGGCACTGCAGCCCACATAGCAGATGAGTCCCACCACTAATGGTGAGTCCATTCCTGACAGGGCCCCTATCGTGGTGCAGGAAGTGACCTCTTGCTTACTACTATTCATTATTTATTTATAACAGGTACTTATATAGCACCGTCAATTTACACAGCACTTTACACATATATATTGTACATTCACATCAGTCCCTAACCCTCAAGGGGTGTACAATCTAAGGTCCCTAACTCCCATTCATGCATATACATATTAGGGCCAATTTAGACAGGAGCCAATCAACCTACCAGCATGTCTTTGGAGTGTGGGAGGAAACAGGAGTACCCGGAGGAAGCCCATGCAGTCACAGGGAGAACATGCAAACTCCAGGCAGGTGTTGCCGGGGTTGGGATTTGAACCAGCGACCCTAGTACTGCCAGGCAGAAGTGCTAACCATTTAGCCACTGTGCTGCCTACTGTTGCTTACTACTATTCATGTGATCACTAATTGGCCAATCAGTGATCACATAATCGGGACCTCACACAGAGGTCTCGTACAGCGATCGGTGTTCCGCTATGTCCTCTGGGAGCGCACACAAGCTGAAGATGCGGGTGCCATTTATGAACAGCAACCCACTCCTGCACTGCTCCCGTCCGGCTGTTTATATACATGGGCCAGATGGGAAGTGGTTAAAAGGTGCCTTGACTGAATAAAGGTTGAAAAACACTGTATTAGACAGAAGAAGTGAACTGTGTTGGAGTACAGTAACTCATTGTGGTAAAATTTACGTTTTCATTAGGCCATTAGCTACATGTCATGCAGTTCTTATATTTCAGCTATAATAAATATGATTGAATATTATCCCCAGAAACCCCCAAAAGAGCAGTTTATTTTTTTTTGCCTTTCATTTTTGAAATGTACATTATGAAGCTATTTATTTTAGTGAATGCTTGACTAATGTTCCACCCAATGTCATGCAATTTTTCAGAATTTACTACCTTGTTGATTATAAACAACTTCATAATTTGTATTCACTACATCAGTGTGAAAAAACCTGAATAGAAATCTATGCCAATCAAGCTAAGTGCATCAATCCTGAAAAGTTTCTATAGACTTGGTTTACAAGCAGCAAATCTATTTAGTATCATATGTGCAATTATAACTACTTGCCCTCCTGAGGATTTACCCCCCTTCCTGACCAGGCCATTTTTTTTTACGTTACAGCTCTGCGTTACTTTGACAATTGCGCAGTCATGCAATGCTGTACCCAAATTAAATTTGCATCCTTTTTTCCCACGAATTGAGCTTTTTTTTGGTGGTATTTGATCACCTGTTCATTTTTTATTTTTTACGCTATAAAAATGACAATTTTGAGAAAAAAACAATATTTTGGACTTTTTCCTATTAAACATGTCCAGTAAAAAAATTTAAAACATCGAATATCCTCATAAATGTAGGCCAAAATGTTTTCTGCTACATGTCTTTGCTAGAAAAAAATCCAAATACGTGTAATGAATTGTTTTTTGTGAAAGTTATAGCATTCACAAATGGCTGTATGGATCCTGGAATTTTTTTTTTCTGAATTTTTACTAGTAATGGCGGCGATCAGCAGCTTATAGCAGGATTGCACTGGGGGAAATGACTTGGTGTCACTGACATCCTCAGTGACACCAATACAGCGATCAGTACTAAAAAAAAGCACTGACACTGTACTAAGGGCACTGGGCAGCAAGGTGTTAACATGAGGGGCAATCAAAGAGTTAACTGTGTGCTGTTTCACTGTAAGCTCTGTGTGTGTGCTTCACTGTAATCACACAGCTTTAGATGGCTGTGCTTTGCATAGCCATCCAAAGCAGTGTGCACAAGCTGACAGGGAGGTAAACTGTATTATTTACATACAGTTCTCCTCCCTGTCGGAGATGCTCGGTAATCATCGGGCGCTGGCGAGTAATCACCATCTGGCACCCAGTGATTGACATCTGTGGCCATGAATGGCGGCGCAGGTAGGGTGCGCGCGCCCCCTACCTGGAAATACAAAATCACGTATATATACTGTATACATGATTTTGCGCAACCATGCCGCCCTGTAGCAGTATATCTGCTATAGGGCGGTCAGGAAGTGGTTAAGCAGGGGTGGACTGACCATCTGGAAACTTGGGCATTGCCCGGGGGCCCAGGGTCAGTAGGGGGCCCTATGAGATGCCCCTGGTACCTTTTTCATAGGCTTTTTTGAGTTTGGGCAAGGACACGGGCCCCATGATCCCCTATTGCACGGGGGCCCCATGAGTTGTCAGTCCGCCCCGTGGTTAAGTATAATAATTCTCCTAGATTGTAAGCTCAAAAGAGCAGGGCCCTCGAACCCCTCGTGTATTGTTCTGTTACTGTATTGTCTCATGTTCTGTCCCCCACTATAATGTACAGCGCTGAGCAAACCTTTTAGCGCTATATAAATACTGTATAATAATAATAATAATAAAAATGATACAAGATTACAAAACAAAATACAGATTGGTTTTATACTCTGATGTACATTAGGTAAATTATAACAGTTTATATGCATGACTTACCTGATGTGTTGGGTAGGATTTGAGCCATTATCAATCAGTCCAGTGCGGCTTCTTCTCCCATGGGACTATAAAGACAAAATTGGCCCTGTGCATTCAGCTGTGACCATCAGGCCTAGCCATAGATGATGGGAAGATTGTGTTGTATTTATTGGATTATACAGTTGATGAAAGTGTCTTGGCTTAGATTTGATAAGCAGTCTATTTGAGATTGCCGCCACTCAGTCTGAAAAAAAACATAAAACCCATTTCTCCAGACATTGCCTAAAAATACTTTGTGGCTGTAGTTATCTTCAGAAGCATTTGCAGAAACCAAATTTAGCAACTGCAGGCACCGTCTTACCTCCAGAATTTAATGTCATTCATAAATACAAATGGGTAGTAATGTATTCCTAGCAATAACAACTACTGGTAAATGATGTCTGCTCATATTTCTTTCATAAAAAAAACAGAAAAATGTAATTCTATTTTCAATACTTTGATGTTTTCATTCGGGGTGTGCTCTCTACACAAAAGCATTGGATGTCAGTTTAACGTATGTTATTTTTTTTTTTGCATACAAGCCCTCTACAGAAATAGTCAAAGACATTAATATGTTTTAGATTGTCTCTACTTACATTACATGGAAGTACAAGTCTTATAAAAGCATCATATCATATTGAAAATTAGCCACAAAGGATTTCTTGGGATATCTCCCTGTTACTTTTTGATTTCTTTTGGTAAATGTGGAAAAAAATAAAATACTGTATGTGGGTGCCATCTATAGTCCAGAATAAAGGAATATAATAAGGTTTTCCATTGCAGCCAAATTAATTCCTGATGTCATTTTTCTATTGTATGTTAACAAATGTGAAAGCATACTTTTAGACTACAAGGCTATTTTTCTTATGCAAATATTCAAATATGACCAACACTGCATCTTAGTTTCAGTTTGTAGTAATATTATTGTAGCACCCTCCTAGTTAGCTAGGGGGAGCTAGTTGATTATTTTTTTAGTAGGAGGCTGGGTAGCAGCCGGGAAAGATAGTCAGAGGGGTCAAATTTGGGTCAGGGGTGAGAGGCTCTGCAGATTAGTTCCCTAATACCTCCCACTGATCTAGAGACTTGGAGAAGTCTCTAGAATTCAGTAGGAGGGGGTGAGGAGGCGCTGGTCTGCACTCTCAAGGGATCCTGGCCAATCCCCAAGAAGGAGTCATGGCACGGAGCTAAGGAAGGAACCAACCCAGAAGAGGGCTTGAAGGCAGCTACCAATCTGCAGCTTGCAGAAGAGGGACAGTGAGCACTTCTACACCTCCTGGACTGGAGTAGGGAAGAGGGCAGTTGGGTGGGAAACCAAAATAGCCCCCAGCTGGACTGTGCTTCAAAGCTGCAGCCTCTAGATTCCCTTTGTCCAGGGATTCCTCCAGACAGCTGGATAGGAGAGGACTATCTGGGGTTCTGCAAGGAGAGTCTGGATAGCTCTCCAAGAAGAGAAACCATTCTGAGCATTTGTACATAGTTCCAGGAAGTTGTCCTCAGGTTAACAGTTCCTTGGGCATCTCATGTATCCCTCATCCCCATCCAAGTTCAAATCCCCTAATAAAATTCAAAAATAAAACCAAGTTCAAGGACTGTTTACTGTCTCTTGAATGCAAGTCTGGAGGGAAATGTGTGTTGTCTGGCTGTGCAGGACTATAGGGGGACCCAAATCTTCATCAACGCCTGAAGGATTAGTGCTACAATATTATGTATAGTATTATTATTATTATTAGGGTTTATATGGCACAAACAGTTTGTGCTGCACTTTACAATATAAAGGTAGACAGTACAGTTACAATACAATAAAATAATAAAAAAAATATAAGAGAGTTAGGTATGGTCTAAAATGGAGGGGCAAGCGGTACAAAAGGTAGTAGTTGTGGGATAAGCTGATGGAAAAATTAAAAGTTCAGTTGTTAGATGGAGGTGGAAAAGGATTCCCTGAAGAGATGAGTTTGCAGGGATTACCTAAGACTGGCCATACATTATACATCCTTCTTGTATAATTTTCCTTAAGAAACACCAGAACCATATAATATGAGGTCAAACCTTGCACTACATAGTTGAAGGTAAATCTAAATGAAAAAAGAAAAAGAAAAATGTATAATGTATGGCCAGTTTAAAGGTAGCCAGAGTGGGAGATAGCCAGACAGATTGGGGTAGAGAGTTCCATAGGATGGGAGAGGGTCTGGAGAAGTCCTGGAGACAAGCATGGGAGGAGGAGACAAGAAAATCAAATTATTTTCTTCTGTAAAATACATCAGAGCATACCCTAATGATCTGAAACACCATAGGATTGATTTAGTAAAGGAATATAGACTGTTCACTTTGCAAGGGAGTTTGAACTTGGTATGGGATTTCCCACCAGAACTTAGTGAATGAGGTGAAGCTCTGCTGACTTCCATTATCCAATCATATGCAAGAAAAAATACTGCTTTTTATTGGGTACTCTTTGCAAAGTGAATTTACCCACAAGCTAAGGGAAAATCCCCTTGCAAAATGAACAGCCTATTTACCTTTAGTAACTCAACCCCTAACAACACACTGACAAAACTAAAGATGTGTCTGAACTTTACCCAGTGTCGGATTTAAAAGGGGGCAAACAAGGCAACTGCACTGGGCCCCCCTGTCTGAAGGGCCCTCATCTATACAAAAATTATATAAAAAACAATATAAAAAGTATAAAAAATAGTAAAAAATAATAGAATAATATAAAATTCATAATAAAAAATTACTTTCTTTTATTATATCCATCTTGGGAAGTACTATTTTGCCAGCCATCATCTGTAAACATTTTTACTCTGGACTAGTATATTGTATCATTTTTAAAAACAAATTTTGATAACTCAAACGAACTGCACATAGAGCGCTATGACTGCACGCGTGTGTGTGTGTGTGTGTGTGTGTGTGTGTGTGTGTGTGTGTGTGTGTGTGTGTGTGTAAACATGACCTCAGAATGATGTTGTGTCATTCATTTTACCTATCTATGGAATTGTAACAGATATGCTGTTTAGCCCACCCATCCCTGATAATAACATTTCCTGTTCTTTCAATGCTGCTCAGTTTACCCACCAAATGTCCGTGAACCACCTAGTGCTTCAGGACAAGATT